CGGCAGAAGGGGAGATACCACAAATGTTTAGCACAAGTTTGGTGTATGGTGCTAAGAATGACGATACTCATTGACGATGCCAGCGAAACTTTTGGGAATGTACCACGTCCACGGTTCAACTTTGGAAATGATCATGCAGACATTGGACTCCGGACTAGTTTCGTTCTTCTAAGTCTTCCTACCAATAGAACCAAATTGCGAAAACAAGGTTAAACAACCTCTTCACAGCTTTCCTTCTCAAAAGTTATTCTCATCCAGCCTGAACTGTACTACAGCTTCGACCTCTCCTCGGTCTCATCGGCACCTTTAGCGGGACTTGAACCCGAGTTGTGGTGATACAGCGTAAAGCCTCGACACATTAACCAATACACCACACTGCTGTGATTGTCCTTTGACCATAGGTTAAAGTGAATTTCAAGGAAGCCTAGGCCTTCCTCATATCACATTTCTGGGGTAGGATTGTGGACAAAATAAAGGAATAGATTATATCACTTATTTTTCCTGATATAAATAAGTGCTCCAGACTAACATTAGATCTGATATAAGCGAAATAGAGTGCATTCAATTGTTATATCCGATCTATTGGTAGTCCCAAGGCCTAGTTATAAAACTAAAAGTGCCAAGTAAATGCATTGTTCGATTTCGGCCTGAAGACTAGAGGACAATATGGGTTGACATTTCATATCGAATATAAAGTTAGTTTAAATAGATCCGTATCTAGGCCTCAACGGAACCTGAATGTGGCTCTTAATTGAGGGGAACCTGTTATAAATCGCCCAGAGCTCTGATCTCAATCCTCCTAACATATTCCTTAATTCTCCAATGTTACTTGACATTTCGTTTCGAATAAGAAGTTGCTTCGAAAAGATTCGTTAATTCGCCTCAACGGTACCCGAATATGAATTAATTTCGAGAGAAGACTTGATTCCTTGAGATTGGCAATATTTGAGAGAATCCGTTAGTCCTGGATAGGCCCTTGGTCACCCTTGGTTGCTTAAGGCAATTTGCTGTCTGATAATCAAATTTTGCTTTATTCAGCTAATCGGGCCTCACGGTGTTCCTTCATTTTACTTGGCCCTGCCCAGCAAAGGCTATTTTATCCAGCCTGAATTGTACTGCCGTTTCTAACTGTCCTTATTACATGAATTCGATGCGGGGTCGTAGTTATCACGTTGGCGTTAGACAGTGTGGCCTAGTGACAATCTCGCCAGGATACTCACGATTCGGTATCAAATCGCGTTTGGGGGGTTGATGAGACGATTTAGGCGAAGTCGAGCCTGCATGACTAAATAGCATTTCGGGAGGCAAGGCTTAGTAAATTTGTTGAGCAAACTTCCATTTCGAGTAAAAGTGTTGGGTGAAGAGATTCGAAGGTCGGTTCCACCAGAAGACGACGGCGAATTCCTCTTGACCAGCTGTTGGGTGAAGAGATTCGAAGGTCGGTTCCACCAGAAGACGACGGCGAATTCCTCTTGACCAGCTGTCGATTAGGTTGAAGAGATTCGAAGGTCGGTTCCACCAGAAGACGACGGCGGATTCCTCTTGACCAGCTGTCGATTGGCTCTACTGGAAGATTCATGCTGGCACTGTTTCCGAGGCAATCTCTTTCGATTCCGGTAAAAAGGGGCTAAGCTTTCGTTCGTCATGTGAAGGACATCATCAGAGCGAGGTATCATCGCCACAACAAAATTCAAGCTGAAGAGTCAAGAAAACTTGAATTTTTTTGTGACGAAGTTAGTTCGCTCTGT